ACGGCTTGAGATGGCCCGACCGCTTGTCAGCATGCGACTGTCTTCAGTTAGAACTCCAGGAAGCAGATTCTGAGGCAGACATTTCCAAGCAAGAGGCTCATGGGAGAGTACCCCAGGGGTCAACATTCTTGAGGAGGTGAGGAGAATGGGGTTGAGTGGGAGCAAGGTGAACTGTGATGTAGCTGCCACTGGGCTTCAGTTGATCCCATGAGGAGCTCTGGGGCTGGAATGGCCTTTTAGAAATGTCCTGAATTGAGGCAAAGGGCATTGGTTGTAGACTGCTCCAGGAGGAGGACAATAACCTCGGGTGAAGCTTTGGCCCACAGAAATTTCTGGGGAGGGACTCACCTGTGGCCGACAGCAGCCAATACACCTTGAATGACAGCCTGGGTGGATCCAAAGGAGTGCTCGAAAAGGTATAGCACTCTCTCAGGAGCACCACAATTACCCTGGGAAAGTTACTTAACGTCTCTGTTCCTCAGTTTCTTCATCTATAAAACAGGAGTAATAATACTACCTTTCTCATTGGGCTGTTATAAGGATAAATTAATATTTGTAATACAGATGGAATATCGCCTACCACATAGGTAGATTATGTAAGTGCTTGTTAAATAAATGAATGTTAAGTGAGAGACTTTCAGAGAATATACTTTGACAAACAGGGGAGTTTTATAATTAGTCTAATTGTTTCTATGGGGATAGTTATTCTGAAAGTGCTTTCCAATGTTTGAGAGCAGTTAATTCTCAAGTAGTTTAGGTACCCATGAAAATCTTAAGGAAAGTATTAATTTGCTTGGAAGCTATTTTTAATAGTCATGTAAATATAAAATTTATCCTAGGATTTTCTTTCAGATTATTAAGTATTTTGAATTGCTGAAATATGAATTAAAGGAGTATAATTTTTGGTAAGTACTATACTATATACCTTATGTGCATTTTCTTATTCCTCATCACAACTACCTATGGGATGGATCCTATAGTGAGGTTATCAGTATGTACAGAGGGGAAATTGAGACTCAGAGGGTTTGCAAGGCTCACCCCAAAGCCTTGATACTTAACCACTGAGCGGTACTTCCTTCCATATAAGTAACCCACACACTCAGTTGTTCCAATTCTTTAAAATATGATTCTCTCAATTGATGCAAAAAAAACATTTGACAAAGTCCAGCACACCTTTATGATAAAAACCCTTAGCAAAATAGGCATAGATGGGACATATTTTAAAATTATCAAAGCCATATACGATAAACCCACAGCCAATATCATTCTGAATAGGGAAAAATTGAAACCATTCCCACTTAGATCTGGAACCAGACAAGGTTGCCCACCATCTTCACTTCTATTCAACATAGTGCTGGAAGTCCTTGCTAGAGCAATTAGACAAGAGAGGGGAATTAACGGTGTCCAAATGGGGACAGAAGAGAATATGTTTGATTTCTTAACCATTGTACCCAAAGAAAACGTAGCCTTCTAGTGTTATCCTTCACAAAGATTCATACATAACTCAAAAGCATTATATTGCATCTTCTTAGTGGACGAGCCAAGCTTCTCATCTCAAATAATAATTAAAATTTTAAAGTGTTAAACTTAACTTGTATTCATAATGAAGATGTCAGCTTGTATGATATGCTGGAAATATAATATAAAAAGATACATTCTGTATTAAATCACATACTTAGTATGGGATATGTATCATGGCATCAAAAATTTACTCAGCACTTTTCTAATCATAGCATCTCATCACAGTCTCACCCTTCCAAAACCTGATCCTTTAAAAACAGCTTCTAAGGCTGAGCACGGTGGCTCACGCCTGTAATCCTAGAACTCTGGGAGGCCGAGGTGGGCGGATTGCTTGAGGTCAGGAGTTGAAACCAGCCTGAGCAGAGCGAGACCCGTCTCTACTATAAATAGAAAGAAATTAATTGGCCAACTAATATATATATATATGTAAAAAAATTAGCTGAGCATGGTGGCGCATGCCTGTAGTCCCAGCTACTTGGGAGGCTGAGGCAGGAGGATTGCTTGAGCCCAGGAGTTTGAGGTTGCTGTGAGCTAGGCTGACGCCATGGCACTCACTCTAGCCTGGGCAACAAAGTGAGACTCTGTCTCAAAAAAAATAAATAAAATAAAAAAAACCAGCTTCTATATAGCCACTAATCTGCTAATTCACAGTTACTTGTGGTTCTGCCAAAGTCAGCAATCGTGCCTGTCAGTGGGGTAACTTAATCAATAATTGAAACGCCACAACTGCTAATGCTTGACTCATGTACCCCTTGATAATTTTATTGCTAAATCTCTACGTTTGAAATATCCTAACTAACCTCATTTTAACTGGGTAGCCTGAGATACAAGGTCAGGTTAAATATGGTAAAAGAAGACAAAAGCATTCCAGATACTGGAGAATGCTTGTTTTCAAAACAGAACATATTTTGGTGCTATTTCAATATCTGTTCTCTGCACACCATCAAACCAGCTCAAATTTGTTCAGGTAGATATCTTGAGATATCTTGAGCTCAGTTCCAAGTATGCCACCCCCAACCCAACTAACTCCAGACTATTTAAAACAAAGTTGAAAGTTGTCATTTCTTCCAAACACATCACTAATACGGTGTCCCTACACTTCTGTCCATCTTCTCCTCTCTCATTTCTACTTCCCAACATTCTGGCAGTTGCCTTTTACATTGTCAAAGGTAGCATTATGTATGTTCAGTTCTCTAACATTTTTAAATGTTCCATGTCATGTCTATGAATTGATTCTCAATCCTAAAATCAAAACATTGTGTTTCTGTAATAATGGCTATGTTAATACTATGAATGTGTTAATATTCCAGTAGGACCAAGTAGTGGGTTATAATTACATATCCCATATAATTATACCTGAGCTACTCAAAGGACAATGTCAAGGTTAAGTAAATGCTCTTTCCTTACACTCCATCAATAGCTCAAAATTTAAGTCTACTAATATTTTGAGTATTTACTGCTCATATGATACTTATCTTTACTTTTCCTGGAATTTCTGATTGTTTTTGTTTTCTTTATGGGAAAATAAACATATACCTTCTTCACCATATCCTCAATATCTTCCAGATTCTAACTCATTATTGGAATCCAATGCATTCTTTTCTTTGAATTTTACCAACTTCCATTAGTCTACTAACTCCAATTTGGATTGGTTTCAGAATATGTGGGCTATAACTTACAAAATTTTTCTTTTTTGTAAGTTTCTAGTTGGCTTTTTTAAAGTGCCTTTTTCATATATTCAAGCTTTCCAAATTTTCATTTTATCCATTTCATGGGGGTACTTTTTCCTATGTCCTTTCTCAACCCTTCTGTTCTCTTAATTTAGTGCAACCTCAAACTCCTGGGCTCAAGCGATCCTCCTGCCTCAGCCTCTGGAGTAGCTGGGATTACAGGCGTGTGCCACCACACCCGGCTAAGCTTTTCTGTTTTTTAGTAGAGATGCGATCTCTTGCTCAGGCTTGTCTTGAACTCCTGACTTCAAGCCAACTACTTCATTAAATGTTTATCAATTAATGAACAAAAATAGAACATAGTTCAATATTATCTTGATGGTCCCAAATCAATTTAATCATTTAATCAATAGATTTTAATCAATATAAGATTGATATATTTTACTTTTAAGATCTATTGTGGTAGCCTTGCCTCTAGACTAAATAACCCAATTATTAAGTTCGAGTATTTTTTATATAGTTTTTTATGTCTTCTGTCTTCCTGCCATGACTAAGCTATTCATTCTTGCTAACTTAATTGTCCTATCAATAATTTTCTCATTTCTTATGTTCTGAGAAATCTATAGATGATCAAGCTTGTTAACATTTTGAATAAAATAAGCATGAATAGATTGAGAATTTGAGCTCTTCTCCTAGGCCTAACGTGCTCCAGCTGCCGTGCCTAGACTTTGCAACAGATGGTCCGTTAGCTCAGAGGGCTCAATGTTGTACTTCCTAGTTCTCTGGAGGCTCAGGCAGGCCAGGTAGCCTAACAGAGTTGCTGAAATGCAAAAACTACATGCGAAAGTATATTCTTTATCAAAATATACTAAATATAATTTGAACCTAATTTCTTGACTCAGTGTGATGCATGGCAATATTTAATGAATTGTCATGGTAATATTTAATGAATTAATGTATGTGGAAGAATTAATCAAATTATCCCAGATTGTAATCTACTCTGAATGTAGCTTCTGCTGCTTTTTCCAACTCAGTGATAAAACCCCAATCCCATTCTCTGCTGCCCCTTCTCACCACCACCACCAGGATGCTCAGAGTTAACACCTCTATGTTAACTTTCCAGATGGAAAGATCATGTAGCCAATGTCACTGCCTCAGTATTTTTGTTCTTCCAATGTAACCTTTTGCTGCTACTGACAGTTATTTCTTATCCCTTCTATTATTTGCTCCCTACCCACCCCCTCACCACCACCACTCTCTGATTACAGCTTAGGGCTGAAATGAAGTTTCCTAGAGAATTTAAATATTACATGAAAGCTTGGATAGGCCCAGCCAAAGTGTATGTAATGAATCATCTGTGGAAAACCATCCCAGGAATCTGTTCATTTGAGTCATTATTTTCTAATAAGTGCTTATTGGGCTTAGGGTTTTTTTTTTTGCTTTGAGAATTGACTGTATACATCATCCTGGATTCAAGAAAATGGTATTTTATACTTTGCTAACTTTATAAAAGAAGAATGACAACACTACCCAATAAAACCATCCTCATAGTTCTTAGTTGGACATATTTTTTCTTAATTTGAATTCTTGCATAATAGCATTTAATTAATCCTTAAATAGAAATTGTTATAATCTCTTATTTTATAAAATGTGGACACTTATTTTATCCTCCTGCCTGGAGTGATGAAAGCAATCTATGGACAGGAATTTGGATTTCCTCATCTTTGTTTTCCCTGCAGCACACACAGAAGTAAAATAACAGGCATTTGACAACTATTTAAAGAGTTGAACAGAAGCACATGACACTCATAAATGCATAAAGTTACTTTATTTTAAGTATACATATAATTTTGAAAAATATAAATGCTAAAATATCTCATCTTCTTCATCTCTTAATTCCATAAAAGTCACAATAGAAAGCTTCATAAAACTGTAAAATACTATAATGTTATAGGAATTTTAGGTTTTATATTGGAAAAAAATTATTAGTAATATATTGAAATGTTTTCTGTTCTTTATCATTTTGTTCCACCATGTTGATCTACTTCATTTAAAATAAAAAGATGCATCATTTCTCCAAAGTTAATAAAGACTTAAGAGAATAAAAATAAGAATATCTGAAAGTGCGTATTGATTCTGAAAAGTAATGTGTACGAATACGTACCAGCCATGAAAATGGCTTAAAAGAGGCAACTATTCACTCTTTTCACATTGTAGGACTGGGACAAAGTTACTTCTGGCTCTAAAAGTTTCACTGGATAACTTTAGCCCTGAGTTGCAATATTTGTCTAGGAAACGAAATTCTTCATTCTTGTAAGTACCCATAAAGCACAATGACATGAGCCAAGAAATAGGGCATATCCAAATTTCCGGTCAAAATGCAACTTGAATGTGAGCATATGTTACATAACTTTTCTTTTTAAATTTCAGGCTGCAAATGAAGCTCAATAACATCAGCATCTGACAATTCCCAAGGCCCTTCAGGTAGTGAAGTGCCATAAAATGTCACTTGATTCCACACAGTCACCTGGTGCCACCGGGCTTCATGCTCATGCTGTGAAGAGCAGACCTTAACTATCATAGGATATAAACGAGAGCATCTCAGGTTCCTGCACCAAAATCATTAAGTGGTATGAAATGGATTGAAGAAAGCTTTGTCCCATCCCTGAACAATGCCAACCTCTGAAATACAACTCAAACGGTTTTATTTTGTTTTTAAAAGATAGTCAGCAGTCAATACATTTCAAGTACTTTAACACAGTTAAAAAAAAAAAAAAAAAGAACCAAAAAACTTGGAAGACAATCATTCTCTATTAAACATCAATATATAGCTGATAAAAGATTTACTCTGTGTGGGTTGGTGCATGTGCCTAAAATACACACAAACTGAATTACCGACAGCAGATGATTGTTTCCCCCCATTCTCTGAGGTGGGGTGCAAAGGAGGGAGGCTTTTGTTTGCCTACTTCTTAAGTCCCTAAGTCTCCTCCCCAAAACTACTCCCCAACCTGGACTGAAGAAGAGGAAGAAACACTCCTGCCCATGGCACACAAATCGATTAGGGTTCCAAGTAGTCATTTCCCACCCTAGAGAAGAGTGAATTTCATCGAGGAAAACAGTGTTCCCAAGAGATTTTCTCTCAAACACAAAAGCAGAGGCGTTTGCTCCTCCGATAAGGCAGACACTCGGCCTACTCATGGCTTCCTTCCAACAACAAGTTTCTACAACCACAAACAGGACTCTGGTTAACAACTCTGATTGTGCTTAGCCCTTACTTCAAGCAACTGGAATCTTTTATCTCTGAACTCGTATCAGGGGGAGAAGGAGAAACACTGTATAAAAAATGTACTGTTGTAATTTGTGTCCAGTTTACATAGAAACAAAACCACTCCAAAATCTGGCCAGGTCTTCGTCAATGAGTACATTCAGTTAAAATCCAGATAATTTGGTGGCTCTAGGTGTCCCTCAGGCTTTGCTTGTTAGTTTGGGAACTATGTCTGTTCCTTTGAAAGTAATGATTTTTTTAAAAACTTCCCTAGGTTCTGGTAAACATTGAGAAGGTTTGATATTACCTGTTGAGTTAGCAAATATAAGGTACTACTCTACATTCGTATCATGAACACCAGCCTTCTGTCACAGAGTACAGATGATGAATGGAGGTGCACAGAGCTTTTACAGCTATTATACCTAAAGCCCGAAATGATGAGCTACGTTGCTTCAGGAATTCTTTGAAAGGTATGGAGGAGGCATGAATCTGCAAATACTTGATTTGTGATCAGAAAAAAAATATATTATATCTAGAGCTTTTATAAAAGTAAACATAAATGCCTTTAACAAAATCATAGGTTAGGCTGAATTTTTATGCATGGATAGTTTTTAAACATTTTATTAATGCTTCTATCAGTAATAAAAGGGGAAACTTCTCATACAGCTCTATATTAGAGTACCAGAAAACTAGATAATACAGAATAATCGTTTTAAGGATAGCTCTAGATACAAATGTGATGCCAAAAGCTGGCATGTGAGATTTTAACACAATAATATGTAATTTGCCACTACCATTTTAATGAAAAAATTAGGGTCATTTATGTCTAATTTGTATAAAATTAAAAGTTTTAAGATTATCAGATACTGCAAAAGTAACAGCTAACTCTGGATAATAAAATTTTTTTATAATCAAAATGTCAAGGACAGATTTATAATTTAGTTAATATAAAAATGAGTGGGAGTCAATAAGTACATATCATAAAACCAAAATAAATGGTTTCATTCTGCTTCTAGTACTCCTCCTATAATCAGTTATAGTTAGGATATATCACAACTGTGGTTACATGAATCCAAAATTATAGATTCAACATTAAAATATTATTTTTAACATACATTCATAATACATAATGTACCTGTTCAAAACATTGCATTTAAATACCATATTTAATTTGGTTAATAAAGGTCTAATTTTCAATCTGGTACTTTGAAACACACATACATACATATGTATACAAATACATTCTAAATGTCCCAATTTCAAAGAATAATTGCCTTTGCATCCTAAAAAAAATGTGAGATTACTGTTAAAAGTGGATGCACATCTAACTCTGCAGATCTATCTGCTTTCCTATAACACTTTATAGATGTGCCAATGGGCTATTAACACTCCTACAGATTTTGTACTGTTAATATGAGCCACTGTATCAATAATGGTGACTGACAATATGGGTAATAAAATATGTTCAACCTCATTTGCATAATGGTAAATTTCTTGGACCCCCCCAATGGATTTTTCACATGTGGTTTGGGTTTTATGGAAACTGGCACAAGAGACTTGACAACTTTGCCCTTTGCCTGTCACTCTTTTCTTTCCAACTTTGCACATATGTGCACCAGCCACACACAGAGCACATACACAAACACACAAATACTTCAAAATGAAAAAATTGTCTAACAATACTGCATAGGACATCAGACATGGTAATACAGTCAACATCTGTACCCAGATACTACTGTTATCAGAACATCAGTTATTCCCATTATAGAGGAGTTTATCTCTTCTCCCTCAATCTCCTTCATAGAACAGTTAAATTTCTTTTAAAGAAAGGGAAAAATGGATGCTTAGAAACATGGTGTTTTTCATCTGATCTAGCCTTCTGGCTTACCCTAGAGATTGTGTGTTTGTGTTTGTGTATGTGTGTGTAAAAATCACATTATATACAATACAATTTTTACAGAAAGCCTGGCAGCTACAAATAAGAGGTAGAACTACTCAAAACTATGTTTCCTGCTGCAGGAAAAAATTCATTTTCTTTACAGTAATTAAAAAAAAGTTTTAAAAATTGACAAAAAATAAGTTGCAGGTTAGGCCCCATAATTTAAACAACAAAATCTAGGAAGAAAAATATTCTTCAATATACTCAACAGATAAGTTCGTTAAAGGGTTAAAAAAAGTTGCATAGGAAAAAGGGACATTCCAGCACTTGCTACAATGATGGCAATGGTTTCTCTATAGGGAGTAAAGTACCTTTAAGTTTTCTTCTTTTGATAACTCTAAGATTAGGGTTTAAAGCAAGAGCAAGTTAGAATAGCAGCACTTTTTTTCCCCGGTCAGAGAGCTCTATAAGTGAGAAGGGACTCTGTCTGGAGGTCAAGGTTTGTTCTACCAGACAAAGACAAGCCAGTTAGCATAGCTCCAAAGCTGAAGTTGTAAGTTCCTTCAACATTTTAATAAAAGGTGTTTGTAAAATCCTTAATACTTTTGCCCTCTGCTTAATAGAGGAAAAGGACAGGGTCTGTGCGTGTCTTGAGTGATACAGGAATTTGGTTGTCAGAGGACACATCTGGAAGTTTAGGAACAAAAGGGGGATTCCTCATATGCTGTTTTTAAGGAATGGTACACTATTGTCTTGATTTTACCTATGCAAGAGAGAAGCAGAGAGAGAGTCTAGCGCTGTATTATTTGGCCAGTGACCAAAAACTGAAACAAAAGTTAAAAAATAAACAAACAGCCAGACAAAAAAAAATAAACCCCAAGAACATTAACAACAAAACTGTCAGTTTCAAGAAAGACAAACAGGTTACAATGTAGTTTCTGTTCCCTTGCTCCTCCAGAAATAATCCTTGTCTTCAGGCTCAAGTTCTATTCTAATTTGAGGCACGACTTTTACTGGAGTTCTAGGAGGACTAGAGAAAAATACAAAAAAAAAAAAAAAAAAAAAAAAAAAAAAAAGAGAGAGAGAGAGAAAGAGAAAGAAAAGAAACAGTAAGTAAATCAGATATCTTTTATCATTTGTCAAATGTTTATGCCCTGGACAGAAGTCAAATGTGTCATTCTTGTTCTCTTTTAATACTTATCTCCTCCCTGTGTTTATAAAAACAAACATTTTTAAATGGGAGGAAGGTACCATTAGAATCAAGAAATTCAAGTAAAAATTTCATAAGATCTCATACCTAGATTAAAACAAAACTAAACCAAAAAATGAGAAGAGGGACAACCAGGTGGGTAGTACTGGCAGAAATTTAAGGACAAAGATACTAACATGATGAAAACATTCAGAGATTTCGCTCCTTTGAGAATCAGGTAGGACCTGAAATCTCTAGAGCCTGAGGGAAGGAAACTACTAGAAGACAAGCTGCCAGGGAGCACCGGTTACCCTTTTAAATCAGGGATGATACTGAAGTTACAGGAGCTAATGGTTGATCCTGGCCTTTAACATAATGTTACTGAAAGATTCCATTTTTTTTTCTCCTAAGAATAAGAAGGTCTCTTAGGATTCTTTCTACCAGTAAAATCTGGGACAAGTTTTGGTCATTGGGTAGTCTCTTTAAGATAAGTCACAGAAAGGGAGGAGAACAAGAAGTTCTGCCAATAACCCACCATTAACTACATTTCTGTGGGGCAATCACCCAACAAGGTAAAAATCCTGGGCTCTGCTTTACCTTGGCAAACCCAGAGACTGAAGGAAAGGAATTTTATCAGCATGATGTGTGGCGTTCGAGGAATGTTGGTGATCTTTCCCCTGGGGAAAAAAATGTTGAAATCATAAATAGTAGGTCTTTGGTAAAGTATGAAATTAGAGTGAAAATAAAAATCTTCACGAAAATGGATGGATTTTTCACAACTGGAAAGAATAAGAAAGACAAATTTAGACATTTTCATCAACAATGCAACAAGCTAAGATGCTGAGTAGTGTGGTAAAGCCTAAATCACTTAGTTCCCTTTATTTTAGGTTTTCTGGGATGGACCACTGATATCTTTTCAGTGAGAAGGGTAAGACAGGAATCATTTTTAGAAGGTGATAGCTTTCTTCTTAAAGTCTAAGGCTTGTCCTTAGATTTCCTTCCTCATCCAGCCTTCATGAATTTGTCCTGCTGTTATTTATGGACTAAAAAAAAAAGTACTTACTTACACTGCAACTCTACTTCTATCAATTTTGTTCTTTCATAGATGATAAAAATTCATATGCCATTAGAAAATATCTCAGTCAAAATGATCATGTGTATTTTTGCTCAAGTAAACCTCTAATATATCAACTTATAATTTGTCCTTTTAAAGGATTTTTAAGAGAATGAAGAACAACTGGCACATAAACTTTTTTCATAAGCCCCAAAGTCTGGCCGGTGTTTTTTTAAAAAATAGATTTCCATTGTACTTAGAAGGGGCTATGCCAGGTTACGACGCCAACAGGAGACACGCAGGCTGGGAGCATGTGTGCCAGTCTCCTAGGGCTGGTAATGACCCAGAGACAAAGAACAGACTCAGAACCTGGAGCTTCAATTCAAACAGAAATTCTTAACCAAATCCCACTGATAGGAGTAGGTAGAGATTAGCTTCAGCTACAAGTTACAGGTTACAAATTGGACACCCAAGGTAAGACTGCTTTGATTATTTGTTCCTTAAACTCTGTCTGGTGGCCAGCCTCCAAGATGGGCTCCAGCGATCCTGTCTCCTGGTATTTATGTCCTTGTGAAATTCCTTCCCTCATGGTAATAGGGTTGGTCTGTACGACCAACAGAATAGGGCAGAAGCGATGGTCTGTCACTTCTAAGACTCAGTCATAAAAGACCGCAGCTTCTGTCCTGATTCCTCTCACTTTTTGTCACTGGCTTTGTGTGGCCATATTGTGGGACACATAGTGACGTCCAAAGGCCAAGGAACTGCGACTCCCTGCCAGGGCCTCGCGAGTGAGCCCGGGAGCAGGTCCCCAGCTCCAGTCAAGTCTCTAGAGCTGGCAGCTTGACAAATTGATGATAATTTCCTAAGGGCTCCTGAGCCAGACCCACCAAAATCAGCTGCTCCTAAATTTCTGAATGTCAGGGGCTCTACAAGAAAATACATGTTTGTTGCTTTCAGCTGCCAAGTTTTCTGGTAATTTGTTACTCAATAATTGGTAACTAATATACCCATTTTGATTCATTGATATTCATTTCAAACTTTTCTTGGTCACAGTAACCTCCTATTAAAGTCGAGGTAGCACTGTCAAATGGAAATAAAAGTGTCCCAAGTCTCTTCTGTCCTATAACCGATCAGTGTACTTTGACGTACACCTGAATCAAAAGAATGCATTTTCTTCATATGAGAACTCAAAGCGGAAAGTATTTTGGAGGCAATTGCTACTTGCCATTGGAAAAGCTTGAGATGTTTTCTAATGTTACCATCGAGATTCTTCCCATTTTCAAGTGACAGGTTAACTCAATTACAAAAGAAAGATGACGCATCACAAACCATTACACTGTAGCCACCAGGCCATTATCCCGGAAAGATGAGTGCAGTTACAACGACGATTTGAAAGAACAGAAGGGGAATGAAGAGATTAGGAAGAAAATTCATGTATCTTAAAGCTATACCTAGACAGTTGTGCTAATATTTTATGATTGCCAGTTTAATTGAAAATAATTATTCCAAATTCTCAATATTAACAATTGATTAATTAATCATTGAGAGACTCATGATGCAATTTCTCTTTTGAGCTGATTTGGTCACTGGTTGAAACCTAAGGAAGACAAACAGTAACAGACAGTGATGTAGTAACTATAAGCTGCGATTCTAAATACCAGCAGAAAAAAGAAAAATCAATTTAAAACATGGTTACAAGTTTAGCAACTGAAAAAAAAATGGTAGTGATTTGGGAAAGAGAAAAAAACTACCAAACAAAAATTTAAAAGATTATGGATAAAAGGAAGAAGTTAAGGGTGAAGCTTAGGGTATGTAAAAATGAAATTTTATAATCATTAAATGTAAATCTTCACACAGAAAGAAAGAAAGACAAAAGAGAGGGAAAGTTAACGTAGATGATAGTTCTAGTTTTTTCTCTGCAAATGCAAATCATATTCAAGCAAGCAAGCGAGAGGTTAGTTCTACTCACTGTCGGAAGGTTTGCTATCGCTTAGGAAAGGTTGCTGTTCCATGATGTCCATTGGAATTTTAATACTTGGAACTTTTTCTGAGTATGGGCAGTCAGACTGTGAAAAAAATGTACAACCGTGCTTAGAATGTTTTTATTATATAGCCCCTCCTTCCCAGCATTGATCAAACCTACCATATTATCATTTATATAGTATTAAAGGAGAAAAGACCTACATATGATCAATTCCAGTTTGCCAACTTTCCAAATTCTATGCCATCTATCCCCCTCACATTTGTTTTCCTTTCTTCTGAGTTAACAGGATTGAGTTTATTAAATGCAGAACTACACCAAAAATAGATCACTACAACCGAATTGTAACGCTTTCCATAAGCTTGATCCTCAATCGGCAAACATTTCTGGGTTGCCCACATGTGAAGTGGATGATCTCAATATGAAAAGAGATTAAATCTAGGAAACTTCCTAAACTATAATACAGTCTTGAAACTCTTGTTTCGTTAATGCTCTCTGATTCCATCTCCAGGAAAATCCTGCCCCATCTTTCCTTCCAAAACAAACAGAAGACATTTTTAACATATATCATGAAGTAGTCCTCTACATATGCACAAAAATAAACCTTCCTCCCTTACTCTGCCAAACACTGTTTTATGGTTAATGGTTCATTTCAATTTGCTTGTGCCCAAGATATTTGAAAATGTAAGCAAATTATAAGAAAACAAAATCAAAAATAAGGTGCTTATGGTGGCCAGATAAGCAGAGAATCAAAACCAGAATAAAATGGCAAACTGGGCAGCTGATCATGGGGCTACCTGAAGAACAAACCACCTCGCCCAAAATGTAATAGATTTTCACAGGATCATTATTTAACTTAAAAAAAATTCATTATATTAAATTCAACTCTATGTTTGGACTGAAAAGATCCAACTCATCTCTTAACTGAAAGTACCAAGGAGACAATTTTTAGTTGAAAGAAAAATGTAAGAACATGGGGTCAAATAAAAACAATCTTAACATAAAAACCTATTATGCACACTAAGAATTCCTTAGGATGAATCTAAAGAGGGTAATGAGCTATTAATATCCTTTCAGAGAACTAAGATCATGCACTTAATTTGAAAAAAGAACAAAAAATGAAGATGTCACCTGCACCTACCTTTATGAGAACATCAAGAATAAGTCCTATTACAGCATTTCAGAAATTTCCCAAAATAGCACTTATGGACACACAGGTTGTCAGCCAATGCTTAATCACAGCCTACCAGGCAGGCTCAAAAATGACTGTGAATGGCTCAAAATGTTGACAATCCATAATTTTGACTACTTCTGCTCATCAACATTAGAGCGGTAACCTGCATGTCCCAGTGTGACTCTCCCTGTATCCATGGACCCCACACCACACAAGTCTCAGGTGGACATCGGAGAGCCACCTTCCAAATGTGGAGCCCCAAATAATGGGCTCAACACACAGAGCTCACTGCACAGATATACTCGAAAGTGCCAGGTGGGATTTACTGCCTAGGAACTAATGAGTATGTTTGTTTCTTCTGGTAGGGGTGGGGTGGAAAAGAGGAAAAGCAAAAAAAAAAAAAAAATAAGTTTCGCACATTATCTTCAAGAAATCTGTTGGGAATATGAAGTTAAAAATGGCAAAGATTAATAAAAAGAATAGTATTATTTAAATAAAATATGATTTGTTGAAAATCGTATCTAGGAAAAAATTCTCAGGAGTTCATCCGATCCAACTTTTGTCATTGGAAAGCAGTAAATTTAAAACATTCCCAAAAGTTGATATTTTATTATTTTTCCTTAAAACAATTAGAGGAGAGGATTCCATAATATCACTTCATACATTCATAATGTGTAATGAATTTTGACTTTGGCGTCCATGTCCATAAACTGTTTTGAAAATTCAACACAAAATACTGCTTTAATCACCTTAATATGGTAGGCAACCTTCTTTTTTTTTTTTTTGGTCTAGAGGGGTCCAAAAATTCATTTCAAATTTTGATGTCTATTCAACATGTAAACACATCATTCTTCTTAACACTGCATCTTGATCTCTGCTGCAGTTTAAACACATTCTCTCTTTTTCTGTCATCATTAGAAACAGAAAATCTATATACCTGCTCACATTGCAGATGGATGATGACAGTCCTAAAACCTCCCTTTGACTTTAGCTAAATGTGCCTCATATATTAAGTCTTTTTCTTATTGGATCAATTTATGTGAAATCCGATTCTGTCTGTTGCTTCTTTCACTCTACCGTTTCCAAGTTCTACAAAAAGAATACAATTGGACAGCCTGATCCATTGGACATAACCAGAGAGGCCTGGATTAGAGTTTTGGCTTTGCCAATTACAGCTGTGTACAATTAGAAAATTCACTTAAATACATGTATCAAAGCATCACATTGCACACCTTAAATATATACAATTTTATCTGTCAATCATATCTCAATGAGGCTGAAAAAAATTTTTAAAAGACATTTCTCAGTCTAAATTTCATCACTTGTGAAATGGGAACAAAACTAAACACTTTAAAGAGCTGTTAAGACAATTAAGGATGAGGTATGCATGATCAATCAATGTTATTAAGTACTGATTAGACACTAAAAATTCCTTATATTGCTACTTTAGACTGGGTAATGACACACACAAAAATAATTTGTAATACTGCACTATGTAAAATCCAAAACAATTTTCAAATGGAAGATGTTATTTTGGCAATCTTTTCAAATGGCTACTGGGATAAGCTGTATGTGTGTGGTAAAGAAAAACAAATTCCAGCTTTTCTTCTAGCACTGATTGTGAATCTCTACTGGAGCATTTGTATTTCGGTGGAATGATCTCCTAAAAAAATGGGCAAAAATTTTATTTCTCAACTTAACCACCTAATGCAGAAGGACCATTTGGACTATGACGCTGACCACTATAATTTTGTAAAAAGACCCCAAACTCCAATTCCCTTCCCTTTTTATTGAAAAGTTATGGAAAAAATAGTGTCAAATCATGTTAGTATAAATATAATGTTAGTATAACCACACAGATCTCTGGCTGAGAGCCTTCTTGAATAGATAAATAGATCACAGGAGGTAAGATACTGACATCTGTCCACATTAGGCTTAAAATTATATAAAAGTGAGTTATCATCTCAAATATAAATCCTGAATTATCAAAGGCAAACAAAATACATTTTATGGAATTGCTAAGCAAATTTCTTTTGTATCTATTAGATCAAAGTTCTTTAAATGTGGTGGGTTTTAAATTATTTTAGAAGTTATTTATTAGTCATTAGGTCATTATTAGTGTATTAATGGTTACAGAAAGACTGCAGAAAATATAAAAAACCAAGGAGAGAAAATAAAGGGCAAAGGGAGGTGAAATGAGTAATATGTCACATGGCCAGAGAAACATTTTTAGAACTCAGCCCTGCATCTCACATTAGGCATAAAAAAAAGACATTTTTCACATTTGTTTCGTTAACTAGCTTTACTCTGGAATTTTGGAAAGTTCCTTACGTCGTCATTATCACTGTCCAGACTCCCCTTCTTCTTTTTCTTTTTCTTCTCATCCTCCTTCTTTTTCTTGTCCTTTTCTGGAATGACATCGTCGAGGAAGCTGAGGTCGTGCTGGGAGAAGAGGTAGTCCATGCCTTTTCTGACAGCCACAAGTGCCAAGATCTGCAAGAACACACACACACAGTGTGGCAGAAACCACATTAGATGGAATCATAGTGATTCCTGGCACTGCCCGTCAAAGGCAGCAGAAACCTGTCCTGTACAACGCCACCGTCTGACAGAGCCCACCACAACTGTACTGGCTTATGCCTGGTGGGCCGCAATCATTTTCTCCATGGGAAAAGTTGTTTTATAAAAGTCTGGGTTGAAACTCACTTTGTTTTGTTCCCTGAAACGTATGATCACAGTCAATTAGAATTTTAACGTGAAAGGATTACTTTTCGAAACCACTTCCTTCCATGTCAGATTTTAAATCAAATAACTGAAAGTTTAAAGGCAAGAGATAGGCTGCATATGACTTCTGAGTATGCAAAATTAAAACATGATACAGGTTTTTGAACATCGAGTGTATCTGTACAGCGCGCAGTACACTGAGACCTCTTCAAAGTATTAACAGGGGGTAGTATGTGAGTATGCATAGACCATTTCCCTTACTGGGCTACTTCAAATGCTACCATGAACTGAGTACTTACCCCGTGCCAGACAGTACGCTAAACTCTTAGGCAATATTATCTCATTAATTCATCACAACGGCCCTCCACAAAGTAGATGTTATTATTAATATCTCTATCTTACAGCTGAGGAAGTTAAACTTAGAGACATGAAGGATATTATCTCAGATCATGAAACCAGACAAAGGAAGAAAACAAAGGGCTCCAACTGTCTGCTTCCAAAACCAGTATTCTTGAGCGCTGTGTTTTTAGTTCTATGAATTGTTCTTGCAGAGTAACTTCTAAGGGTACATTAAAGATGTCTTTGCTTGACAGCAAAACTGATATGCAGCACATTATAGGGGTCCTGGCCTGCCTCGAATGAAATTGTCTTTGTCCACGTCACAGTCTCTCCAGGTCAGTTACCTTACCTCCTAGAGAAATTAATAACATCTGCCCTACTGCTATTTCAGGATTATTTTGTGACCAAATAAGAGCTCTGAAAAGATAAAAGACACTTTATAAAAGTAAAGTTTTTTTTTATTATTTAGCACAATCAATAAATGATTTACTGGATATATTTCAAATTTATCCTGGTCTAACTTCATTCTTCCTGGTTTTAGCAAAAATAGTAGGTATGTAGACAATATTTATAGCTAAATGGGGGTCATTTCTCACACTCAGTGTATTTTTCAGTAAGCTAATATAGTTTAAAAATAAAAAAGAGACACAAGGAACAATTAACAAAAAGAACCTGACTTAAATATCACTGGTATTTCATACCATTTTCCCCTGTATCCTTGGGGAAAACAATTACAAACAACAAATATGTATAAAATAATAATGCTGGGTAAGAGTAAGAGGAGTTTTATAAAAAATAAAATGTTTGGAAATTCTGTTTCCAGAGCTGTAGGGGAGACAGAACAAACCCAAGACTGCCTCTGGGACTTGTGTTAAATGTATGTATGTGCATTTTTTTGCAAGAAGGGAGGAATTATGATTATGGTAAAGCATACAATTCAATAATGAAGCCAGATACAGAGCTTGCATTTCCTTTTCCCCCTTCTTTCACTTGTGATTCAGAGTGAGATGGGAGTTGCGTGACAGCTCAACAGATCACGGCAAGGACAGAGAGCCCTGCCTCAGCCTTAAACCTAGCATGGCGTAAACCACAAGAAATTCAAAAGGTGAACTTTTCACTCCATTTCTTCTAATGCACTGGATGATTTCTCATAAGTTGACAAACACTTCTATATTTGAACGGAAATTGTCCTTATTTAGGTTGACTCTCCTGTACAATGACATTTTAAAATAACTAACATGCACTGGTGTCTACTGTGTGTCCGGCACCGTGCTAGGCACCTGACAGTCACTGATGCGCAGGGCATCGATAATGGTGCCACCCCATCGTACCGACGAGTTAATGGCAGCGCAAAGAGAGGTTCACTGACCAGAGTTAGTATTTGAACTCACACGAGCCTGACTCTAAAGTCCATCCCAGATAGCCCCGGGCATGGGAACTTCAATTACAACTGGTCAAAGTGATGAGGTCTAAGGGGGGAAAATTTGGAATCCCACGTAAAAATCACGCGTGTCCTCCATATGTCAGTAACATGGTATCCGCATGCCCTCGTGAGTAGGCGCAGTGAAAGGAATCCCTACCATGACTGGAAAGACGATGGCGGCCACAGTTGACTTGAGGATCCAGAGGAGGGCCAGGCACAACACCTGCAGGAACGTGAACAGGTGGACCCTGCGCAGGGGCACGTGCCGCAGGTAGATAAAGTCGGGCTGATGCTTCAGGGGCATCAGAAGCAGCTTCAGACGATCCATGAACTGGGGAAGAAATGGGAAGAGAGTCCAGCTGCGTTAATTCAAGAGCTGACAAAGTCAAAGTCATCCCCACTAGGACTAGCCGACCACTCGTGTTTCATATTCTGTAATTTAGGCAAGCAGTGTCCTTTTCAGAGGACAAATTCCTGGTCAGGCAGTGCACAAATGTAGTCTAGCACAGTAAAGCACAAGTCTTCTAATGATACTATGCATCGTATACATTTCAAGAATGTTTAAAGGGTATAAAGGCAGCGTCCAACTTGAAAATGGGAATGCAATTATATTTTCATAAATTCCACATTATTTATCTATGGCATAACCTGACTAATACATTTGGCAGTGTATTACCATTTCTTTTCAGAGAAATGCCACATGAATATTACAGTGCGTTTCAGGGTGCAAAGAACCAGATATCTGAATCTAAGAGAGGTCGTGTAAAAACAGGTGTTGAAATGAATATTGAGCACCGATGTACCAGGTGCTGTGGTCCAAAGAGTAACTGCTGCGTTCACATTGATGATGATGAATGGGATGGTACTTAAGAACCTATCATAGGACCTTTCGATGAAAGACACTCAGTAAATAGCTGTTGAATTGAATAACTGTGTGATAAGAAGTCTGAAATAATGTCGATATTTTCTCTCTGGAGGTAAAGGAAAGGTATAAAGGTAAACTAGCACAATCTTTTCTGGAGTGATTTCCTATTAAAAAGGTTTTCTTCCTCCCTCTACAGCTGTTTTTGACTGGCTTTCTCATTTATAAACACTAGGTTACAAAATTTATTGCTAAATCAAATCTTGCCAAAAAGATTTAAAAGAAGGAGAGTCAAGAGAAAAGCAAGAAAAGAGAAACGCCATTAGGGGCGATCGCACAACAGAATTAAAGAAATCCACTAACTGTCCTCTCAGCATGGCTGTTTTCCCCCATCATCATGATGTGGTTGCTTTTTATCTTCTTTTTAATTCAACAAACATGGACTCAATTCCAACCATTAAAGCCCCTAGAACACATAGACTCAAACTTCTGATCTAGATCGGGTCATTAAAGGGCAAACAAAAATAAATCTATTAGTGTGGGGGCCACCTGAGTTTCATATTTTTCCATTTAAGGGAATCAAGTGTATACTTGCCAAAAGTTTCATTGGCGCAAATAAATCCATGTTTACATTCACCCAGTCCACTCTGAGAGGAACCACCTTGTATTTTGTGACCAATATCCAAATGGTGAAAAACTCTACACAATGGACCCAAACAGAGAAAAGTAAAGTAGCCTTTTTTCTTTTTAGGGGTCTCGCCACTTGCTCAGCTCTATCAGACTCTAAAATCAAATTAATCTAAATTCAATAAGTGAAAACAAGGACTATTTTGAAGGGATTCAAATAAATTCTTCTGATGTTCGCAGAACATGCAGTCTTTTCCCATTAAAACATTACCAAGTGCTAAATAAGGCTACAATTAACAAGGTGCCAGAAGCAGTGTAAGTACTTCCAGTTTCCTGGTGCCAATTAAATTAAACCTCAATTGAAAGACAAAGTTGCTTGAGAAGTTTTTCCCTAATGATTTTTTTAAAAGGGGGGTTAGTTTTACCAAAGTTCTGAAGTTTTTGACAAAAGCAGTACATAAACCACACTGATTTTATTCTTTTATTGGTGCAAAAATTTTGATCACTGATCTCAGCCACGTGAAAAACAAATCGAATAAGAACAGGCTGTTCGTGTGTGGGCAAATGGACAAATACTATCTTGAAGAGCACACTAGTAGAGTTAGATGTTCTTCTTGAGACAAATAGATAAAGGTTAGAGAGAGAAAGACAGAGAAAGGAATATAAAAAAGAAAAGATTGTAGCTCTCCCACTTTTCTGGTCAAATAACTTTCAGCAGCCTATTTAAAGAATGGGTATGTATGATAACAAATATGAGTATTCACTAACACGAGCTAACAATGTTGATTAAATCAGAAATGAAAAGCACGAGAATGTTGGAGAAAGTAGAAAATAAATGCATTTTCAAATCTCAGCAGTTGATAATTAGTACTTCAAAGATTTATTACTATTATTATTGTTCTTACTACTGTACTTGCATTGCTATGGAAACTTACCTGCACGCCGTTAAGAGATGCTACCCCCATGTACAGGAACACGCCGTAGAGTACAGGCATGGGAATAAACTAGGGAGGAAAGAAAATGGATAAAAGTTAAAAATAACATTAAGAAAAACAGTAATGGGGGTAGGAATCATTTAAACAAAGGCTAAATCTGAAACTAAAAGATAGGATATAATAACAGTGATCTCTAACTAGTGTGCTTCATCATCAATTGATCAACTTCTAAACTCTGTACTAGAAATAAATGAGGGAGGGTGAAAGGGACTCTCGATTTTCATTTGATGTCTTTTTTTATAGTGAGCATGCATGATCTTAACAACTCTTTTTTTTTTTTATTAATGGGGGGGAAAGTTCTGTTTCCCTTTCTACTTAAAAGAAATGACTATGTAAACCAGATGCTTGTGTGGGCTGTGAGGTAGAAACAGTTAGAGGGTTATCTCTCTCGAGACCAACTTCCTTGATTTTATTTCCTTAATTATTTTTTGCCAAATGATATATAAATGCCTTTTCCAATAAAATAAACATCAAAAGACTGTCCCTTTTCTCCTCAGGAATATGAAGAGGGCTAATAAGAACACTGCTTGAAAGGAGTATGTAGATCTGGAGGCAATTAATTACACACATGGACTAATTCACTTCTATTAGAACTGAATTAATACATTTCCATGCATTCATTAGTAAAAATCTTTTACATTAATAATACAAAGTGTTTTAACAATGAGAAGTTCCAATGTGATGTGTTTATAAATTTTATCTATTCCTAGACCTGGGAAAAGTCCCTAATATTGAGGAAACTAAGCAAATCAAGGATGGTTCTGCCTCTGGGAAGTCTTCTGTTTGAACAACTGAAGGTTATCAACCTTAGATTTTGAAAAGAAGTTCAAGTAATTTCAGGGTTTTTCAAAGCTAAAACCACAAGTCAATTAAGGCCAATCTTACCAAGTCCACATAAAGGAGGCTATTGTAACCAGAAAGAATAGGATGGCTTTAGGGTAATTTTTAAAGAAATACTGCATGTATTAAGGGAAGCACATTTTCTACCAGCCTCTCCTTGTGGTTGTCTAACCCAGGTCTGTAAGTGATACCCTTTGGCCACTATTAAGGAACTACTCAATTCTAAAATGTGTCATGACTGTCTTCAATTGTTATTGGTTAGCCATAGAAATGGTCACATTTAAGTAAAGTAAATATACTCATTTATATAAAACATAAAATGCTTCTTCAAAAGAAGATTAACACTTTTATTGTAGATAATCTTGATCATGAGCTAGGAAATAAATGACATAGAATGTAGAAGGGGGTATTGAGGGCTAGTGTTTGTGGCAGGGAGTGGGTGTGCTGCAATACCTAACAGTCACCACTAGGAGGTGAACGCATCACGTTCAAGCCACTTCTCTTAAGACACATGCCTTCCTCTTAGAATGTGCATGCTTCTATTCCTTATGAATGCTTCTGTTCCTCTGCATAAACTTACCAAAAAGCAAAAAATACAACCAAGGGACCATTTCGTACCCTTGACTCATTTTAAAAACATGTTCCATTTTTCTTTCTTATTGTTTCATTTTTAGTTTTGGGGTGGGTAACAAAAGAAAAGTGGGAGGAGAGGAAAAGAGAAGTCAAGTTCAGTCATGGAAAACTAGTTAGAATCCCTGCAGTAGTTATTTTTTAATCCGAGTAAAGAATTTGTCTAGCTTGAAGAAAGTGATCAAAAAGGGTGAATCCAGGCCTTATCTTCACCCATCACCTGAGCTTAGCTAAATATTTTCTCTATTGTGGTTCTAATGCCAAAGTAAAGGAAAGTTGTGCTTGGTGCTTAGGTCCATTCTCTCTGAATTTATAATTACAGATATCACCAAATCTACCACAAAATAAAATCAGCAGGTATCATTGACACAGCATGGCATGGGGTGTGGGTAGATGAATGTAGCTTTAAAGATAAAGATGTTTTTTTAAAAAAATTATTCTTTGTTAGAAAGGAAACAGTACATATAAGGAAGCCTATTAAATTGATTTGGGGCCAACTTCCATGTGACAATAAATGTTTTATGAAATTTGCCATTTCTTTACAATAGTGCAACATCTCAATAAAAATATTCCAATATGGAAGTCTTGATAAAACTTGACAGAATTATTGGGTTAGAGAATTTTTTATTGGATCTGATTCATGAATCACATCAGGTTAATCCTTAAAAATTTATCACAATAGAATCATTTATTTCAACAGAAATTTCTCAAAGGAAGGAAAAGAAGAATGTGTTTTAAGAAGATGGAAGTTAAACCAGTATAATGATAGTAGCTAAATATTTTTATAAAGAAGACAGGAGAAATTAAAACATAAGAAACACAAGGTATACCAGGTTTACAGGCATAGCCAAAATTGCCAGGTGATAAAATTATACAAAGAAAATTTTATAAGTGATCAGTCATACCAAGAGAGCCAAAAGAGGGTAATTTTAAATCAGTATCACAATACATTAAATAAGTACTACAAATGAAAAAATAAGTAATTGATTCTGCCACCAGATAGAAATCAAAGTTATATTTAACATATTGAGGCTACGTCACCAAATTTTTCAAATTCTAGCAAATACATTTCCACTCATTTTCACTTGTACCTCCTTTTGATTTGCTGATAGTGTTTCAATATTCCCAGAAGAAAAAGTGAGAAAAGGGTAAACTTAATAATAAAGGTAGACTATGGTTGTCCAACACAGAATTCAGTACAGAAGTGAGCTCTCCCAGCAGAATAATGGTCACTCTGTGTGTGTTTGTGTAAAAACCAGAGTGAGATCCTGACTGAGAGCATGGGCACACAAGTCGGGCACACCTGCTTGCAAATTCTGGCCTCTACCATTTGGGTAACACTGAGAAAATTATTAGCTTCTCTTATCCTCAGTATTCTCATCTAGAAAGTGGCTATGATAAAGACTACATAGCACAAAGCATCGAGCCCAGGGCCTGACTCATAATAGCTATTTAATAAATGATGCGTGAGGCATTAATGTCATCATTACCACGAGGACCTTGACTGGCAGGCCAAGAAGCCTGCAATTGCCCTGCACAAATCTCTTCGGTCCCTCCATGGTGGGGGCAAAGGCATAGTTCAGAGGGACGGCTGCAAAGGTCAGACCTGAAGCCCTGGCTTTATTTAAGTTCCACTGTATTTCCCTTTCAGCTATAACAACTATCTTCAGGAACATGTTATAAAAATAATATCCTAATTCCCTTAAGCCTTAAAAATCCAAGCTGATAAGGAAGCTGCTGCCTTGTACTCTGGTCACCAGTCATTGAAGAAACTAGAATGAGGTCTGATGAAGAGTTTCTGAAATGCCATTTTCCTCTGCACATAAGAATTAGAAATTGGATCAAAGGAGCTAGGGAAACCATCTCATGGGAACTGAAAATGAAGGCAAGCACTGTGTTTTATTTTAAAAGGTGATAAACCATGAGGTTTATGAGATTGGCTTTTATGCCAGAACTGCCTGTGTTCAAATCTTGGCCCACTTATTTAATAACTTTGTGACCTGACAAGTTATTCACAATTTTTCTTAATCTGTAAAATGGAGACAATTATTAATATCTTTTTCATAAGTGTTATTCATGGTAGGACTAGATTATAAAAATCTGTGCTGAACCCCTAATCCAATGCCAAGTTCAATAAATGGCAGCTACTATGACAAGCATCATCATCATCATCATCATCATCACTATCATTTCTCTTACTTTCCCTGGTACTGAGCAGAGGGTAGCATATTGTAGGAGCTCAAGAAATATCACCCACATTATAGCACACTAAACAAACCTTAAAGATACACTGGGCCACTCTTCCTGTTAAAGATAAACTAATGCAAGCAAAGGCAACAGAAGTAGCAGTGAAATTTACTTGATCTTTATTTTTTCAGACTTGCCAGAAAATGCAAAAAAGCAAGCTCAAGGAACTGTGCCTTTCATCTTTTTGCTGCTCTTCAATCTCCTCCAGTTTCTCCATACAGAAGCACTAGCCTAACAGGCAATATTTCTGCTGCAGAGACAGATCTAAACAGTTTTGCCAGCCTGGGAAGCCAGTTATTCTTGCTTCCCAACAGCTCTATACCGAATCAGCTTTAAGATTCAATGCTTTGAAGCATGTATGACTGTAGCCAGCCAGGGTCAAGGGGTACCCTCGTGAACTGAAAGCTGGTACACTGTAATTCCTTACATTCTTCCACATGAAAGACTGATTTCGGCAAAGAGATCAAAACAGAAGTCATAAACTTCATGTTCAAAGTGAGCTTGCATAAGTAGGCAGGGGGAGCAACCACCTTACAGGCTCATGCATGAGAGAAAATGACTGGGACCACCTAGACCATCGAACATGGAAGGGATGTGAGGAGCTGGGCAGGGAAGGGCTGAGCCACTTCATTTTACAAAGTAAAAGTCACACATTTCTCTGGGTCCCATTCATTCGGTCTCCTGTCAAAGGCAGACTCTTAAGTAGAGCCGCTCTGTGAAGCTGCACCCTGATTCTTCATAAACACACAGTCACATGGGGGAAGAAAAAAGGATTTCCTCCTCCAGCTAACCCCTGACACCACTTTCGGTGTGAATTCTAAGGTTAATTGTTAATCTTGACTCTTACTCAGGTCTGCTTCTTCCTGTATTGACTTTTTAAGTGAGCTAACAAAGGATCTGTGATCCACGCACATAACTCACCAAACTTCAATGGTGAGAAGGGAACATGGTCTGAAATTAGCGAACCTGATCAGAAGTTGTGATTCCCGAAGTAAGGAACAGCCTAGCTTACTGAAGAAGTGAGGAATCGACTATTGCCAATGTTTGACTCTTTTATTGCTGTTCTTCAATATAGGTTTTCCACAGTATGTTGTAAACTGTATTGACTAAACGATTTCATTGCCCACATTTCGGGCAAAACCTTGCTAAACAAAAATGTTTGCTGGACCAGCTTTTTCACTAATTCTTACAAAGACTCTTTGGGTTAACCCAAAACTGCCCAGGGGGAGTAGCCACAATCCACAATCGTAGATCCCAGCAGCTGAATAGGGGTGAGCTGAAGGGCAGATTAAAGGGAAGGTCAAAGGAAAAGCAAGCTCATGTTCACTGATCCCTCACATCTGTCTCCTTTCTCTGCATTCTGATCTGTTTCAGTCAATACTAAGGTGCTTTGCATATGAGGGCAAAAAGAGTCATTGCAAAGAACAAAAGAGCTTTCAGCTTTAACTTCTTTGTAGCCATAGTTGGGTGCAAGGTGAGAAAATAGGAAGAGGCATTCTTGAAAATGTGAGACTTGCATCCCTTCCTAAAAATAGCAATTCATACAGTATCTGTTCTCTGTGTCCCTTCGAATCATACGTGATTACTCAACTGATAGGTTCTCCAGGATTAAAGCCAATTTGCTGTCTCACACACACACACACACACACACACACACACACACACACACACACACACACACACAGAACCTTCAAACACATTTGACTTTTTTTGAATTAAGATTTTATGCTATATTAATGAAAAGAAGTAATATCAAAATAAAAGAAAAAATGGGGAGGGTGACGAGTAAATTTGAACTGATGAGAAGGTTTCTATCCATTCATCCCTCACTAGTGACGAAGAACCGGGAGCACCCACAAAGGAAACTTCACAGTTGTGCCATGCGAGTCCACCTTTGGGGAACCCAGAGGGACAGTTCATTTCTACCACAATCTGCCACGATATGGCAATGAGCTCTCTAAAATGGTCACTCCACACGAGGTGCCATTGCCTGAGAGGTAAAGGTATCATTGGGCTTTTCTACCAGCTGACGTGGCGTCTACAGGATGACAGAGGACACAAAGAATTTTGGCAATGGACTTGATGCCGTGAAACTCACTACACCTTCAAACCTACCCCACAACTGGCTTTGCACTGGCAAAGGTGACCACATAGCTCCTTCTGTCCCTGAAGAATATAAATTCTGTACTCTTTTAAGACCCTCTCCACAGAACCAGAAATAATTTCTCAGAGGTTGCTTTACATCTTAATTCCTCATGTGTTAGATGAGATGCATATTTCTTCATGAATCTAGTTAGAAATTAATTAAACCAGTTAATTGGCATTGTAGAAAACAAAGAAAAAAATATTAAATATTTTAAAAGTTTACCAAGTATTTTGTACATAATGTACACTTTAGTCTAAATACCCTGAAGGCAAAAGTTAGTCTTATTTATAGGTTAAGATATCATAGTTTTACTTTCCTTAAATTCATCTGAGTGGCATAAAATTTGCTAATTTGAAAGAGATTGAGAGCTTTTGCTTTTCACTAACTTCACTATGTAATTTGAAATCTTCAGAAGAATGTACTGGCCCATTACTTGTGTAATTAAATGAGCATTTTAAAAACCTTAAAAATTAGAATTGCTTAAAAATAAAAATTTTCAGAGAAAAATATTTAAGGATTTTGTTAACAATGGTTGTTTATAGCTGTTAGGTCTATGGGTGACTTTTGTGCTTTGTACTGTGGTATAAAGCATACGATACCAATTTTCAACAACAATTGGCTTACACTGTTTATAGAATAGAAAAAATAAAATCCATCACAAAAGAAAATTAGAAACTTTATGAGCAGGTATATATTAACCTTCTTTGTTTTTTTTTCTGCTTCTCAGTAAGTTTTCACATATAGTTTATATTTATCTCTCTACGCAGATATCCATCCCATCAATCAAATCTTAAATTTCTAAATAACCTACCCACATAATTTTTCTTCTTTAGAAGTTCATTTCTAGAGTTTTCTAAATATAGATCAGTAATTTTACTCTAATATCTCTTTGTGGACTATGAAGCCTTCTGATTCAAAGAAAGTAAAAACACAGCAATAATTAAAAACGGGAGAAAAATTTCAAACTGGTCATCCTGAATCGCTCATGTTGTCCAGGAATCTAAGGGGGGAATAGGGCAGCATTTGGGTACAAGTAAATGGAGAATGATGGAAGAAAGTATGTACAGGAGACAAGGAGAGTTCAAAATGTGTTTGTTTTGGTCAGATTGAACTGCATGAAACTGCTGTTTTCATGGGTCAGAATGTTTGAATATTGGTAATTTCATTACGGTTCAATCAGATAACTGCAAAAATCATAATAAGGGAAGGGGTGAGAGAGTGAGAAGGAAATCAAGGTGAAAGTTTTTTTAAAGTCCTCTTTCTACTTGACTCCTGCCTCAGTGTGTTATAGAGCTGATGAGCATCTTGCAAATGTTTCATAAGAATTCCACTCTTCATATGTCCAATGTCAGTGTTCTGAGGAGGAGGAAGAGGTGAGCGTTTCACATATTTACCTTCAAGATGGGAGCCATAAAGACTGACAGACCAGTCAGAATAAACACAAGGGTTCCAGTGACTCTTTGTTCCCTGAAACCAAATCAAAAGATTACCAATCTACCTCTTGTTTTCATAAACATGCTCTTGTCTTTTCACCTTCAAAAAAAGACTATACATTGACCAAATCAATGTTTTGCTAAAATAGCAAAGGTGTCAATAACATGTCATTAACAATCTCAAGGACAGCATAAAGGGTCAACATAACTATAAAAAAAAAATCACTTAAAGTTGTCACAATATGTTATTTGAATTCATGAAGAAAGAAGTGATCTTGCTATATCTTTTGCTCCTTTGAGAATCAAGAAGGAAAAATCCTTTGCTCTTGGTCCAGCAATTACTGGCCTCTTTGAAGCCCTTATTTTTTAAACAACTTGTCTAGTTGTATAATTACACCTTCTTTCATAGGAGACAGATATTACATTGTACCATGTTCTAATTAACCAATAGCTAAGGGAAATTTCATGACTGCAATAAATCACATCAGTCTAACTTTCAAATCTACAATGACAAAAGTACTTTTTGACAAATATGATTTCCCATCCTACACCCCTCCCCCCTCCCCCCAAAAAGAATCACCCATTGTTGTGGCGTGGGAAATGATGGCTCTGTCCTGTAAGCTCTCCACCCCAGCACTCATGAGCAGGGTTTGCTGCAAAAAGTTCTCAGCAGAGGATAAAAGCCTTCTCCCACTGCCCTTGATGGCTACCCAAATCTAATAGCTGGAGGTCAAAGTTTCTCAGTACTTTTAGGGACAGAAAATGAATTGGAAAAATCAGAATTCCTTTCCCTTCAAAGAATCTTAAAAGTCATAAGCAGACTCAAGAGTTTTAGGGCCTTTCTATATGACTGTGATAGAGCAATCACTGCAGCACCAAAATCACCCGCATGTTGAAGAAAATTAATTGCTTGTGTTTTTTATGTTGCATCATTTAGGGTTTCGGTAATCAACAAAATTTATATATCATAAGAACTAAAAAAAAAAAAAAAACTCTGATGAAAATTTAGTCCTTTCTGGAACAGAAAATATAGGAATCAATTAATCATCACCAACCCTACGTCCTCCAAATCTGCTCATTTCCTTACGATTGACACACGGATGTGTGGAAAATGTGTTATGTAGAGCTGTTTTCCTTTGACTCAACACACCTCACTCCTAGAAACTTCGGCTGTTCTCCAGGTGCAGAAGTCTCTGTCTCCATCTTCAAACTGTCGATGTGAGCGATGGAGATGACAGTGGCAGCTACATACCATGGAAGAGCCATGAAGGAGCACACGACCATGAGGATGGCCACCCAGAAGAGATCCAAGTGATACCCAGCTCCTTTCTGTGGAAGAGACAACAGAACCAGGTGGAGAACATACTTGTATTTGATATCTAGTCATGTTCCCGGACAGGACTCAAGATTACCAAAAGAAACGGACTCGCTTTGCTTGATAAGGTAAACTTGTTAGGGGAAAGGACTTTATCTTCCTCATATTATTCCCCCAGCAATTAAACATATAGCCACCTCCTACAGCTGCTATAGGAGACACCTCCTCTACTATAGCTTTGAATAATTGTTTAAGTTAGATTTGAGTCATGGCTTTACCTGTTACTTTTTTTTTTGAGAGAGAGTGAGAGAGAGAGAGAGAGAGTCACACTCTGTTTCCCGGGCTAGAGTGCTGGGGCGTCAGCCTAGCTCACAGCAACCTCAAACTCCTGGAAAGCGATCCTTCTGCCTCAGCCTCCCAAGTAGCTGGGACTACAGGCATGCACCACCATGCCTGACTAATTTTTTCTATATATTTTTAGTTGTTCAATTAATTTCTTTCTATTTTTAGTAGAGACGGGGTCTCGCTCTTGCTCAGGATGGTTTTGAACTCCTGACCTTGAGTGATCTGTCTGCCTTGGCCTCCCAGACTGCTAGGATTATAGGTGTGAGCCACCACGCCTGGCCTGTTACTTGTTAATTGCTAAGTAACCTCTATGCATCCAATTTTCTAATCAGAACAATGGAGATACGTGCATACTTTGAAGAGGAGTTGGGACCATTCAAGGATGTAACAGAGGCAAAGTGTCTTGGAGCAACTTAAATAGTAATAGTTGTTACGTAGCAGGAACCCAATAAATGGTGGCAGGGTCAGTAGTGGTACTGGTTGTTGCTGTTAAAATGTTAACATCTGGAAAGCAGCTCTCTGCCTTGTCTACTCGACAGTGTTTAGCAGCACGCTGTGTATCCAGACGGCAGTCAGTGTATATAGATTAAAGATCCGAAAGCCACCTTGAGACGGTATGTAGAAGACCATTTTTCACCTTTCACATTATATGAAAATAACTGTTTAGCATCTATGACACATCATCATTAAGGTTATTAGCACCCCTTAATCAGAATAGGCTGACTGCAAACATCATCGAATGGGCGCAATAACACTGACTGGGAGAGCAGACAATTGAACTAAAGGTCCAGCTCTTTTACTCATTAAATAAATATTGTTAAATGTGTCCACAATGTTATTCCACGGTTATATTTCTCGGCTCTATTTACGAAGAAATCGAATGCCCGACACCCCTACGGAGCCTGAGAACATGGAGCAGTCCGTCTTCACAGCATGGGAGCAGCAGTGCCAGGGCCCAGAGCATGACCGACCAAGGAAACGGAAGGGTTGGCTTTAAAATCGAGGCTGTGATTCACACTAGCAACAGTGGTGACTGTTATCCTTCGGGTCCGGTTACAACACTGCGCTCCTCTTGCTGAAGTGCCAGGATTTCACCCCTGGCTCCCACACATGGGTCTAATCATGTTCCCAGAGAACTCATCCCAGGCAAGCGGAGCGACGCAAAAAAGAAAAGCATGCGTTCACTTAATCCAGGTTGGGCTAAGAACAAAACTCTACTTGAGAGACAAATAGGTTAATATATATCCTCAAAACAAGTTCATTTCGAGAAGGCATAACAGTTTGAATTGGGAGTTGGGTAAAGCAGGGGAAGGGAGGGCAAAGGAGAGATGAGCTGAAATAAACTTGTTTGACAATGACTGATGATGTGACTGTCATGCTATATCTGGGATCTCACTCATCCATTCTTCTACTGAGTGCTGACTGCCAACTTAGTCTCAGGGGTGGTTCTCAGTACGGCTGACACATCTGTGACTAAAGCAGACAAAAATCCTACTGAGGAAGACCACACTAAACAGCATAAATGAATAAACTATACAGTACCTAAACAGTCCTAGGTACTAAGGGGAACTATAAGAACTTGGACTTGTATACTGAATGCAACGGAAAAGGGTTGGAGGGTTTTATTAATAAATGGAGGAGTGACAGGATTTACTTATATGCTAAGCACTCTGGCTGCTGTTAGGAACACATTGAGACTTTCTGTTCCTAAGAGGAAATGAAAGCCACCCCTGTGACCTGAAGGCCCTGCATGGTCTGCCACTGCCCTTCTCTCCAGCCCAACTCTCCCTCTGTCACTGCAGCCACATGGGGTTCTTTCTGTCACTCATTCTCGCTGGGTTACCCCTCTCCGAGGGCCTGTGCACACAGCGACTCCCTTGCTCGCTTGGAATACCCTTCCCACCCGCCTCATTTACCTCATTCTAATCCTTTAGATCTAGACATCAAGGTCACGCCTTGAGGCACTCTCTACACCTCCTGGACTGGGCAAACACTCTCAAAACACTGTCGCCTCCCCTTCATGGCATCAGCCACATTGGCCAAGTCACATTTCACACGATTATTTGAATCGTGCCTCTCTTCCTCATAGCTCCATGAGGACAAGGACCACGTGTGTTTTTGCTCACCACTGAACCAGCAGTGCCCACTGCAGGGGAGACACTCTAGATAAATGTTCAATGGATAAATGAATGAATGCTAACTCATTCATTCAGTATGCTAGACCCTAGAAGGAAAGTATTCTCTATAAAACACAGTCCTTGCCCCCAAGTGGTTTACTGTCATGGCAGATCTGGACAAATCAACAGGTATTTGCAACACCACGGTGTCCAAGGTCTACGGTAGGGGTGATTACTTAAGGATGCCATGAAAGCACCCAGGAGGGGTACCCAATCCAGTCCACGTCAGGGATGGTTTGCATACAGAATAATACTTAAGTCCTAAAATGTGAGCCATAATCAGCTGGGAGACAAGATAAGGGGAAGCAGGAGAAAAACAATGCAAAACAAGGTACCATTTTGAGAAAATAAAACAGAGTTGGTGCACAGGAGGAAATCGGGGAGGGAGGAAATTAGGTGTGAGAACTTAAGAACTTGTACGTCTTGCTAAAGACTTTGGAATTTTTTATATAAGAGCAATGGGAAGTCACTGAAGCGTTTTAGGCAGGCAAGTGTGGTTTGTAGAGGGCGTACTGGCAGTGGCCAGGATTGGAGGCAGAGGACAGACATGGGAACATCGCTTTAGTCCAGGCTTGAGACAGCACAGTTTAAACTGAAGTAACGACACTGGGCAGATTTTAAGGAGATCGTGTTCAGACAGGGGAAAGCAACAAATTCACTTTGCCAAATTTCAGTGAGCAAGGCTGACCACCATCCCACTAGAACAGCGCCCTACACGCGTTGAACTCTGGAGACAGCTGCTGAACAGAGCAGTAAAAGCCATGCTTCAATTCATAGTGCCCCACCCATGGCCATAGGGAGCCCAGAACCCAAATGGTTGTTACAGAAATTTTTCCTGCAAAACAACCTACATATGTATGAGGACAAGCCGCTTCTAAGACATCCCTTTTAGATAAAAGTATCCGAATGACCTGATTTGAATGGAATGAAAATAATATTGAAATTCTGGCATGTTTTATATAAATAATATTGCAAGAAATAGAGAATAATGTTTTTTTCAAAAAAAAAATACACGAAACTTTTTATCTGTTCTTTACTCCTTCTCCCTGTTGTCACTACCGTTTGCAGAGCCTCAGGAATTCTTTCCTCCTGCAGCACCTCTAATCCTCACTCACACTCAGCTCTCCCCCCACCTCCACTCTGGCAACCCTTCCATCCACCCCTGCTGCTGCCGGAGTGAGTGTTTAAGGTGCAATTCCGAGGCTGGGCTCGGTGGCTCACGCCTGTAATCCTAGCACTCTGGGAGGCTGAGGCGGGCGGATCGTTTGAGCTCAGGAGTTTTAGACCAGCCTAAGCAAGAGCGAGACCCTATCTCTACTAAAAAAAAAAAAAAAATAGAAAGAAATTAGCTGGACAATTAAAAATATACATAGAAAAAATTAGCGGGGCATGGTGGTGCATGTGTAGTCCCAGCTACTTGGGAGGCCAAGGCAGGAGGATCGCTTGAGCCCAGGAGTTTGAGGTTGCTGTGAGCTAGACTGACGCCACGGCGCTCTAGCCTGGGCAAGAGAATGAGACTCTGTCTCAAAAAATACAAAATAAAGTGCAATTCAGATCCCGTCAATCGGAGGCTGGGGTGCTGTTGGGCAGGGGAGGCCAGCAGAGATGAGAAGGCCAAGCGGGACACAGCCTCGCTTCCACGCTGAGGCTCCTACAATGAACACTGCCACGGGGCCCTTGAGGATCCTGACTCCATAGAACTGGCACGTTCTGTGCCTCTGTCGTTCCCTACGTGCCAGTCTTCACACTGATGTTCTGTTTCTACTCCTTGACATTTGTTTAAAACCATCCTCTCCTTTCCAGGCCCAACTCAAATTCCCCTCTTCCTTCACGCCACCCGGCAACCCTTGGCCCTCCACGCCAGTCTCACCGCAGAAGTCCCTGCTTTTCTCTTGTCACTGACGAGATCCACTGTCCTCACGAACTCATCTTTTTAAAGTCTAAATCATTACATGCCACTCCCTGCTTAGCACCCTCCGGTGGCTTCCTGTTCACTTTGAATAAAAACTAAACCCTGTAAAATTGTCTTTAAGTTCCTATATCAGTGTTTCTTCCTGGAACTATTTTGCAGCCCCCACCCAGACATTTGACAATTTTTGGTTTTTACAGCTTGGGGACGAGGGTGAGCCTTTGGGACGAGGGTGAGCCTGGCATCTACTGTCTAGAGACCAGAGGTGATCTAGAAGACCCTACCATGCATAAGACAGCTGCCACCAACAAAAAATCGTTCAAACTGTCAATGCTGAAGTTGAGAAATTTTGTTGTACATGATCTGGCCCCACTACCTTTGACTTCATCTTGAATTACCAGGTCCCCGTGTTTCGGTCACATGGCCTGTTGTCAGTACACCAAGCTCCTTCCCACCCTGGGCCCTTTGCATTTGCTTACGTCTTTCCATGGGAAACTGCCATCTAATAAACATTTATTGCACATCTATCCTGTGGTAGGCCCTATGTTGATAAAACAATAAATAAGACAAAATACAAGTTCGA